TGATATTAGTTTTAAGTTCAAATATGAGTTTTGATTCTAATACTATATAAGTTTCAAGTTTTAAAAAGTTTTAAAAATAAAATTTTGTTGAAACTAAGTTTTGAAACAGTTTCAATATTAATACTCTTGAAAGTTTTAGAATTCAAGATATATTATTAATTAGTACTAGTTTATTTTATTAATCTTAAAATTATTTATATTAATAAGCTCTAGAAATAGATTATATATATAACCTATCTAAACTAAACTTAGACAAAAAATATAGTTTATAATTCTTTTTTTTTTGATCAGATTTTTTAATGAGCTGATAAAATAATATCATCAATTATCAAAGACTATAGTAAAAAGTTATAATAAAAAGAATTAAAGAATATAATAATATAATTTAAAAATTAAATACTAATGTCTATATAATATATAGAATATATATATAATTAGATTTGTACTTTATTAATAATAGGTAATTTATAAGAAATTAATTTATTTGATAAAGATATAATAATAATATGATAATACAATTTGCTAGAAGTATGACAATAGTAATTTAGCATAACAATTATTCAATTATATAAGAGAATTTTTAAGTTGTTATATTAATAGTTTTTATTTTAAAAACTCTTTTTGATGATTCTAAAACCAAAATGATAATGAAAAGCAAAAACTTTTATATATATAATAATACTATATTTTCTAATATATATATACAAGTGAGACTAGAAAAACTAAAAGTTCAATAAAATGTATTCTATCATTGAAAAGTAGACTACAAGCTGTTCATAGATTATTGGTACTTTTATATATTATATATATTATATATCTTATATATATTTTATATACTTTATCATTAAAAATAAGCTCTATGAATATAAAAATTAAAGAAAATACTTGGATAAAGTTGAGTATAATACTACTCCTTATACTTTTTATGTTTATTTTAGATATCTTTACTTTTACTTCTAAATCTTTGATCAGTCTTGGAAATGGTTTTGATTATTTGACAAACTTGAAGTATTTTTTGTATAAAAAGTAGAGAATAGAGCTCACTATCTACTAAAGATCAGTATATATATCATTAATAATTTAGAAGTAGGCTTATAGTATAACAATAATAAACACTATATGTTTTGGAGTTAGCACAACAAACATGTGATTTTATTTTGCAATATAAACTATGAGTTTACTATAATAATAATGACTTATCACATATTTGATGAAATAACTGAATTATTATCAAATATTAGAGATATTTGCAAATAAGTATATTTTGCATTTATAATTTTTAACTACTTAGTCTTGAACAGGATTATATATTTAGATTATAATTCTTACAAAATACTTTTTATTTTTTTTTCTTTTTTTGCTTTTGTTTTTGTTCCTTTTTCTTTTAGCTTGTTAGATTTTTATCTTGTTAGCAAGTTTTCCTAATTTTGCTTTAAATATTATATGTAGTATATAGCCTTACTTTTCACTATATTTAACAATTTTATTTTACTTTTATTAATATCTGTCTTCCTAAACAGTCAGACAAAATTGTCTAGATTTCTTTTTTTCTTTATGTTAAGAAGGTTTTTAGTACAACAAATTTTATGTTTGAACATATATACAAATAGAGTATCAAGTAGTGCTTTTAATTAGAGAATTAGATATATAGAGAGAAACTATAGGTTCTTGTATTAAGTTAAATTTTATGCAGACTAACTATCTGTAACTCTTTATCTAATAAATATGTAAAGCATAACTGTCAAAGGAAAAAAAATAGTTTTTATTTTATAATTTAAAGGTTTTTATAATAAAACTATAGCTTTTTTATAATCTTTGTAATACTGAAAATATAAGAGATTTTAGGATTATACTACTGCTTTTTATTTTAAATTCTATAATCTCTTTATTTTATTTTTATTTTTTTTTTTTTTTTTTATACTTTATACAAATACTATCAGCTAAATTCTTTATTAATATAAATAGTAAAAGATATTACATATTGTGAAAGTACAACTAGCCACATATACAACTTTAGATTATCTAATTTAAGTAGTCTATCTAAAGGTTCTATACTAGCTACTATACCTGAAATTTATTTAAAAATTTTCTATTTAAACTCTCTGGCTATATACTATTTCTAATTTGCTATTCTATTATAATTTATCTAATTCTGTATTACTTCTTTTTTAGAAAATATCAACAGAACTAATATTAGTCTACAAACTTTATAATTTAAAACCTAGACCTATCTCAAGTACTTCTTTACTAACTCCTTAATTGATAGAGTGCTGTAAAACCTAACTATACTATGCTATATCCTAATTTAGCTTGTATATATCCTTGTTTGATATTTATGCAAACCCAGTTCCTACTATAGCTTTTCACTAAGTTAGTTATCTATACCTCTAGATATTATACAAAATAGGCTCTTCTAAATTTAGTTAATCTAAGTTGGTGTTGTCAAAAGTTATCTGTATCTCTAAATATCATACAGAACAGATTTTTTCAAATTTAGTTAGCTACTAAGCCAAGTTGTATTACTATATAACCTTGTATAATAGATTTATGTGCATCTATTCTGCTAATCTTTTCATATGCAAATTTTCTAATAGACTTACTTGCATTCTATTCACTAATCTTTTTATATGCAGATTTTCTTTTTCAGATCAAATATTAACTAGTATAACTATTGAAATTTGTACTACTTCACCAAACTCAAAATTTCTACTATGTAAATTCTTTAGCTATAGATCCTATTAAGATTTATTTGTATAATATTATATTTCTTCAAATACCCTGTTATATTTCTAATATCTAAATAATATTAGTACAATATGATTTACAAGGTTACAACTTCAGAAACAAACAAGGTTTATTGTAAGTTGAATACAGAAGGTCTAGATAATTATTCAATTCTGTCAACAGTAGAATTTAAACTCAGACCTCTTGTATAGTAGTCTGGAAACCTAGCCACTACACTAAGATCACTAAACCTTATAATCTCTTTGTTAATTATGCTAATTTTTATATTTTCTTTGTTAAAAATTTAGAATTTCTTATTCTTTACAAACCTTTTTTATAAAAATATTTAAGTAAAATGAATAGATTGATTTAGAAAAGGAAATAAATACTGTATAAATACTTAAAATTTTAATTAGAGTTTTATATAAACTAAATATTTCAAAGTTCAGATATTTATTTATATTTTGAAATCCAAAAAGTACTTAAGTTAGATCTGAAATAATATTAAAATGAAGTTGTAAATAGCAAATAAATTGCTTGACTAGAGAAACTTCTTATAATTTATAAATAGCTTATCAAAAGAGAATATTTAAATTTGGTCTGTAGTTTGAACTTGTAGATATATAATTATCTTAATCTCTTAATAATTGAGTCTTTTAGAGATTATATCAGTAATATTAATCTTCTCTTTAATCAGACAGACTACTTGAAAGTTTTAACCTTAAAGAATTAAAAACTTCAATATGTCAAGTATTCTAGTATGTCAGATAACTAGATCTTAATTAATAACTTTAACTAAAATTGTTTATATAACTTGTTGTATACTCATTATATAATTAAAAATCTTAAAAGATTATAATATGCATAACTCCCTAATAGAAAATTAATAAAATCTAATTAGCTAAAAGTTAGCTTTAATAATAATAATAAGTACTTTATTACCTTCAAAATAAAAGTAGTTATTATAAAAATATAAATTATATAAAATAGTATTTTGCTAAAAAACCTTTACTATTAAATTTCTAATTTATAAACCAAGAAATATTTATAAAGATTTAAAAGATTAAATATTTATATAAAAAGCTTCTGCGAATACTTTTTACTTCATAACTAAGTTAATTTTGCTAAATCTAAATATGTAGAAGTATTATTGTAATAGATATTCTTTGCTAATTCTTTTCTACTTTTAGAACCAAAGTTATTCTTTTTAAGATCTAGATAGATAAGAATCAGATTTTAACAAAAGTATTTAAAACCAAGTTAATTATTCAAATACCAAGAAAAGTTAATAAAATATTTATACAAATACTTTTTGATCTCTAGAACATATATATTATTTTGGTGTTCTTATAAAAGGCTTTTATAATCTTAGTACAAGTTAATTATCAGAAAGACATAAATAAGTTAGAGTAGTATTCTTATAAAGAGCTTATGCTAGAGAATACCACCTTTAGAACCTAAGTTATTACTCAAAATATTTAAAGAATTATGTAGTATTTTATTGAGAACTTTTGCAATTATTTTTTACAATTAGACCAAGACTATTATCAAAGAATTTCAAATATTGCAAAATAGAACAAATAGTAAAAAATTTCTTTGATAAAAATTTATTGGCACATTACAAATTTTTAAATCTTTAAATTTCTTAGTAACACGCAGAAACATTATAATTAAAAAATATTTAATTGCTTAAATAGTATTTATAAACTTCAAATAATGCTCTTCATGATTAAAAAATTTTTGATTCCTCTGTCATTATGAATTTCGATAGATGTAGTATAAGTTAAATAATGGATTTGTAAGAAGTTTAATATTAAATGAAATTAATATTTCTCGCTCTTCAAAGTTTAATACTAAAAGAAGACAAGAAAATAAACTTCTTTGATAGGCTTTAAGATCAAAGCATATATCGAAGAGGAATTCATTTGGTTATGTCTCTTTGCTGGACACCCTGATTATCCTAACCGTTTGATCAAAAAAAAGTTGCTCATGTATCGTTTAAGATCTGGGATAATTTTTTAGGAATACATAATTTCAAGTTATTAAAAGTTTCACATTAAAATGGATATTATTTGAGATCTTTGCTAAGAAATCGTCCTTCAAGTCGTTGTTACTTAAAATTTTAATTAGGAAAAATGATTAAATATAGTTTTAGAAAACATTATTGACATTTATTTCAGTAAATTCTTGTATGTGTAATAAATACGATACAGTAATTACTGTAAATATAAAAAAAAAAAGAATTTTCATACATCTTGTTCTTTTGATGTTATAAGCTAAATGATGACGTTTGATTCCCTCGCACTCATTTTTTCAGTTAACCATTTAAAACAAGAATAATGGATGAATGATCCAGCAATCACTTCAAACATACATTTGTTAGAAAAAATTTTAATTTTAAAACATTGTTGTCTAATAATTTAATATATTTAATCTAAATTCAATATTATTTAGTCAATACTATATATTTTTACTCAATTAATTCACCGTGTAAATTAAAGCTTTCATAAATTTCGCTTGGACATTTTATCCATTCGTGAAATTTTTGCGATCTCAATGCTTGTTTAGCATTTTGATAATTTTTACTTGTCGATTTTAACATACTATATGTAAAATTTTTTTGTAAATTTGGCTCTGTAAATTGACTTATTAAGATATAAAAATATTACGGCAATATTCGTTTATATTAAATTTTATATATAAGAAAAAAAACTTACATTAGATCATACGGTATTAATGATCTGGGAATTTGACTCAATAAATTTTCAAGATTTTGAAATAAACTTAATTTTGTTACTAAACTTCTATATACAGGTAATAATAATAAAAATCCATAAAGTAAATAAATTGATTGCATTATAATTTTACAATTTCAAAAAAATTTTTACCTAGCTTTAGACCAATAAAGACTAGTTGTTTTGGATTTAATTGTTCCTTGTTTCTTTCCAGATACAAGTATTTCCGCTGACTTAAAACCTTTTATCCATATTATAGCTTTATTTATTTTAATTGCAAATAAACAAATAAATAAAAATAAATATAATATTATGTAAATTTAACCAAAAATACCTGTACTTGATGGAATCAAATCTTTATCTAGTAAACATTCGGATAGATAACTTTTCGATCTTTCAAATTTCTCTGAAGCAGGAATTATGACAGGTCGATGTAACAAATATCCATGAGGGAGATCTACAAATAATATAATGAATTGCTACACCAATATATATCAGACTATTAAATAAAAGATTTCTGTAAAAATACTTGTTAAACCCTGTAATCTGTCATATAATGCTCTATTTAAATCTTCTAGATAAAACATATCACCAACAGTAATAGATGATAAATAAATTGGTGATATCAGTTCAGATAACAAGGCTGATTGTAATCCTACGACATTCCATTGAGCAATTTTATCACTATATATAATTAAGAAATACATTTTTAAAACTAACGTAATTAAAATTTCCAAGAGATATAAAATGAATAAATTATTTATACCTACAAGACATTGATAAAGTAGGTTCGGAATCAATCCTTCCTAAAATTAAAGTCAAGTTACAGGATTAGTTAATAGATAAATATAACAAAAAAGGTTCATACCTGGCTTTGTTCTTAAGACTCCAAAAGATTCATAATCAATTCTGCCTCGCCGAAATCCATCTTTCATATTATAAACTTTAACTTCACAATCATTAAAGATTTGATTCTGAGAATCAATATTTCTGTTATATGAATTATTATATAATTCTGCTTCCTCTGGTGGTTGATTTAAAGTTGTACTTGTCACTGATGCATCACCACCTGTTAAAGAATTCTAATAATTTAATATTTTAAATAAATATTATTCATCAGTTAGTTACCTTGTCTTGCAAAATAATGAATTAACCCGATTTTTTTTTGCCAAAATCACAGTTTAATCGGATATTTGTTGATGTATAAAAAAAATGGATGGACTTATTATTCTGCAAAACGCAGTAACGAATACTAAAACTCACAGGGTGCCTGACTTATATACATATGAAAAGTAATATTATCTTTTAATTTAAATGGTGGATAATTCGTATTATTCAAACAAAAATATGTTGATTCTGAGTTCAGCACTGATTTCATTTCATCTATAATAAACCTAAAAGAAATTATTAATACGAGGAAATTTAAGTTATATATAAATCATGAATTAGATTCTTTTGAATACAAACTTTAAAAATCCTCTACGTGTCAAAATTTCTGCATGACTATCATGAATTAAATTGCCAGTTTTACAAAGTTTACTTTGTGGAAGACACTTTAGTCCACTCCTATTTTAACATTTTAACATCTTCAACAAATAAGTTATAAAGAAAAAAATTTGTAATAATTTTCAAACATGATTTTACCCAAGTGAAATACAATCAAGATAATACTCTCCAGACTCTATAATTTATACAAAATCAAACATTAAACATTTCTTTATTGTTTATTCAACTTTCAAAAAAAAGAATGTTTTCATAATACGTAATTACCTTTTATATGACACGCAACTATACCAGCAAGTACTGTCCATTCTGAATTATTTTGAAAAGCTAATGGTTTACCATTTTTGCCTATGGTTTTAAATTTTTTATGACATATATCCGCTATTTGTAAAGAAAATTTTGTCGAATTTGATTCCCATGGCTTAATTTCTTGTAACATCCGTCTTATGATTTGAGGTTTTATCTTAAAGGACTCTATTTAAAGGATTTATAAGATTTATATTAGATAAGCAAATCACGGGGCGAGTGATACAAACGAAAAAGGATTAGCGTTTAACGTTAACGTTTGGGCAATTTTAAGTTATACGAAATTTCTTCCCGACATTTTTTTATTAATGCCTTTTTCTTGTATATTTTACACTTTTATCCTTTTTTGCTTGTTTTATATGGGCTGATTGGATATACGTTTTATAAAATTCGTTCTGTTTCAACTGACCTCTTCCAAAATAAGGAATTTTAAATATTGGTCTAGTATTTCATTGTTCTCCTCCCTTTAAGCGTCCGCTACACCAACATACTTTATTATATTAGTTTAGATTATAGTTGTTAAGCGAAACCTAGAGATTTCGCCAAAAAATTTTAAAATGGCGAAATGACGAAACTGGTGAAAGGTGACGAAAATGGCGAAAGGTGACTAATGAAAGGTGGCGAAACTGACAAATGGTGATTTAATAATCAAACCAAGCCGGCCTGCATTAGCATAATGCAGGCCAAAATTTCATTCAGGTTGACAGTAAGGTCAACAGATCGAAAGCAGTGATGCATCAGCACATGGCAATTACGATATACGTACAAGAAAATTCCGGAACATGCAACTCTGGGATTGATAAGCCACGGGAGGATAGATAAGTATTTCTATGAACTACTAATCTTGGGTATCACTGTTAATCCACAATCAATGCTGCTGTAACTGAAGTCGCAACTACAACTAACGCTGCTACTACTGCCACTACAATTAAATTCACAACTACAACTAATGCTGCTACAACAAATGCAGCTACCACTGCTGTTACAAGTGAGGTCGCAACTACAACTAGTGCTACTACAAATGAAGTCGCAATTATGACCAATGCTGCTACAACTAATTCTCAAACTACAACTAATGCTACAACAAAAGCCACAACCAGAAACTGCAATCGCAACTAACCACTGCTGCTACAACTGAAATCACAACTACTAATGCTACAGCAGAGGCTGCAACTGTAACTAATACTGCTACTATATCTAATGCTGTTACTATCATTACTACTACCGAAGTCACAACGACAACTGAAGTCGCAACTACAACTAATGCCGCTACAACAAAACTATAACTACAAGTAATGCTGCTACCACTGCTGCTACAACTAAAGTTGCAACTACAACTAAGGCCGCTACAATTGAAATCACAACCACAACCAATGATGCTACAACTGAAGCCCAAACTACATCCAATGCTGCTACAACAAAAGCTGTAACTATGACTAATACTGTTACAACAGAAGCTGTAACTACAACTAATGCTGCTACTACTGCTACTACGACTGAAGTCGTAACCACAACTAAAATTGTAACTACTACTAATGTTGCTACAACAGAAGCTGTTACTACAACTAATACTGTTACTACTGCTGCTACAGCTGAAATCGCAACCACAACTAATACTGCTGATACAAAATAAACTGCTGCTATTACTGTTACTACAACTGAAACCGCAACTACAACCAATGCAGCTACGACAGAGGCTGTAACAACAACTATTACTGCTACAACTAATGCTGCTGTTGCTACAACAGCAACTATAACTAATTCTGCTACAATAGTTGTTACAACTGCAGCCGTAACCACAACAGAAACTACAACTAATCTAATGATACTACTACTGCCGCAACTACCGCACTACAACTCAAACTACAACTACGATTGATGCTGCCAATATTACAACTAGTTTTATTTAAGCTTCAGCCAAACTAATGCCGCTACTACACAACTAATATTGCTGCAACCACTGATACTACAATGTTGCTAACACTACCCAAACTTCAACTACAACTAATTCTGTTACCATTACTTAAGCTTTAATCAAGCTTTAACTACAACAAACACTGCGATAACAATTAGCTCTATTCAAGCTGCACAAACAATGCTACTACTACAATTATGGCCGCAACTAATATTGCTGCAACCACGACTAATGCTACAACCGCAATTACAACAAACGCTACTATCACGATTACAATCATAACTACAACCATATTGCTACTACAATCATAACCACAACTAACTTTGCTACAACACGACTAATGCTACAACTACATCTAATGCTGCAGCCACGATTAATGATTCCTGACGAAAATATTTTTACGATGACGAAACATTTCATCAGATACGACGTTGGACGAAACGTTGACAATTGACGAAACTCTTGGCAATTGACGAATCAATTTGACCAATGAAATATTAAAAATATATTAACTATTTTTCAACGAGCTTCTTTATAGCCACCTCTGGATATACCGGACCTTAGGTTTTTTTTAAATTACCGTTATTTCATTATAAAGTTCCACCAGTTCATAATTTAATGAATTTTTTTTTTCAATCATCAATTGTTATAAATAAAAAATTGCATGCAAAAATTAATAAGCTATACGGATGTTAATTTTTAGTTCTATATTATATGGAATTTAAAACCGTTACTGGTAATATATATTTTTTTTAATATCAGTAGTTTTCTTAGTCTGACTTGTCAGATACCTTTGGGTAATATCAGATATATGTGTGTCATAACAAAAAATAAAATAACAATAAAATAAATGAAAAATAGGTGGATATAATAATACAAACATAAATATCTAATTCCTCATTGATTAATTTATTCCTTTAATGAAAGAAAAGAATAATCTTCATAAGTTTCGTCAATCGTCATAGGTTTCATCAATTCGTCAATCAGAAATTGTTTGATAAATGGTTATATCAGACGTCAATAACGAATGATTCATCATTTGTCAGGAATCATTAGCCACGATTAATTCTATTACCACTGCTAATGTCGCATCTACAACCAACGCTGCTATCACAACCACAACCAATGCTGAATTACAACAAATTCAATTATCACAACTACAACAATATTGCTACTACGTACAATCATAATCACAACTAACGTTGCTATAACCACTCGCTATAACCACGACTAATGCTGCAACTACATCTAATGCTGCAATCACAATTAATGCTACAACTACAACTAATATTGCAACTACATCAAATGCTGCTATCACAACCACAACCAATGCTGCAATTAACCACACCAATGTTGATACGTATAGCAACCACGATTAATGCTACATGTGGCAACTATAACAAATGCTGCTATCACAACCATTATAACCATAACCAATTGTTGCTACAACTACTACCAATGCCGCAACTACAACAATGCTGCTATCACAACTACAAACTATACTGTCACCACAATCATAACTACAGCTAATGTCGCTGCAACTACTGCTACTACAGTTTAAGCTGCAACCACTACTACCACAGTTCAAGCTGCAACCACTAAGCAGACTGCAACCACTACTAAAGCTGCAACCACTACTCAAGCTGCTACCACTACTTAAACTGCAACTACTACTAAAGCTGCAACTACTACTTAAGCCACAACTACTACAAAAGCTACAACTACTACTCAAGCTACTACCACTACTTAAGCTGCAACTACTACTCAAGCCACAACCACTACTCAAACTGCAACTACTACTCAAGATGCAACCACAACTAATAGATTCAGATTTAATTAGTGGTTATTCTTTTTCAAAATTATTTGGAATATTCTTTTAATTACGCCTACACCAAATAAATTTACGTATAGCAAATACATAGTTTGACCATCCATAAACCTGCAAGATCTCTCTCTCTCTCAAAAAAGAACAAATAAAGCTCAGCAACGAAGCAATATACAAGTAGTTCTCACCTGATATAATATATCTGGACTATACTTGTTATCCGAAACCTTTTTTCCAAAATCTGAAAGTTTTGGGTTTGGTCTATACTTTTCGAAACCTCTCCCGAAACCTCTTCTATAACTAAAAATATAATCTGAAACTTATACAAAACTAAAATCTAGCATTAAATTTAATTTTACTATCGTATATCTTAATATTGTAGCATCATTAGTGTTTCGGGCGAAACTATATATTTCGCCCAGGCGAAATTTCCGAAATTGGGTGAAACATGTTTCGCCCAAAGACCTGAAATCCGATAATTCCGAAACTGGCGAAACTGGCGAAATGTCCGAAACCTGGCGAAATGTCCGAAACCTGGCGAAATATCCGAAACCTGGCGAAACCGAAACCTGGCGAAAGTTCTGAAATATAGAATGATATGAACAGATCCCACAAAATATTCACATGCTATACTTATCCGAAATATTATATATCCGCAACTTGTGAATAGCAATAGCGATAAATTATCATTTCCTTTATTAGTTAAGATATTTGTAAATCTTAACGCTAATAAACTTATTTAGACGTGATTTTTTTAAGATAAGAATTATTAATAAAAAAATGTTACGTATACATTCCAATTTTGCATGACAGTCACATTCTAGTTTGTCATGACAGTATCATATAGTTATCTAATTAGAAAGATTTATCGATGATACTGTCTTGTCAAACTAAAGATATATTATTTTAAACTTTATTAAGTTAATACTAATCTATAATTGCGCTATATACTAATTCAAGTGATTTAAGTTTTTTATCCTACAAACCTTTTTTTACTTGTATAAAAATTTTTTAACGACGTACCTCACAATTTGGTTCTTTAATAATAATTTACTTAAAAAATTAAAATATCAGGTAATTATTGTTTATTAATAAAAAAAGTGCTCCGGAACTAGATTTTATAATAAGTAAACCTGTTTTTTAGCTTTAGTAAAAGTTGTTCTTCAGATTGAGACGATTCTAATGGTAGTGAAATCATCAAAAACGGTCCAGTAGTTCGCCTGCAATGCCTCTTCAAAGTTCTGCAACGTTTGTTATTTTTGTTTACAGATTATGTAAACAAAGATAACAAACGTTGCAAAAGTTTGAAGAGGCATTGCAGGCGAATTACTGGACCGTTTTTGAGAGAGAGAGAGATCTTGCAGGTTTATGGATGGTCAAACTATGTATTTGC